TGACATTGTACTTTACTGTGCATGTTGTGGTTGGGTATGGAAATATGACATACTACAGTACTATTGTAGTTTTCCATAATACTACTAGTACGTACTAGTAGTACTAGGATTTCGTGATTGAGCTGATGGTTCCGCTAGTTTATGTTGAAGGTAACTCAGTAACTTACCTTGGATTTCTCATTTGGACCTGTACACTGGTTAGGGACATCCTACACTGTACTGTAGTCCTATGGTACCGGTAGTAGTTGGTGGTCGGTAGTACTGTACCGGATTTGATCAGATTTCACTGTCACTTATTTTACCCTCAGCACTACAGTGTAGGTACATACATTCATACAATTCGTACATACAGTTACAATTATTGCAAAATCCACCTTTTTAACCCGTAACCCTGTAACCAGGAAATCCCGACACCCCGTCCCTATCTCAAATGACCACAATTATGCCTATTCCCAGGGATAAGTGGAGTCAACTTACTGTAACCCTTAGCAAGACTTCGTGATATTTGTAGCCAATGAATGGCGTTGGCTCGTGAATGTTTGTACCTACACTGTACCAGTAGTTCAGTGGTGTAAAATACTACTTCGAAGTACTTCGAAGTAGGAACTAATAGTACTGTACAGTACTGAAGCGAGAGGTATACAGTATGTAGGTTTGTAGTTCTTGACAATCATGCAAACAAGGAGGCCACTCATGGTGAGCGTGATTGAAGTCTCCCTGTTGACGTCAACAAAACCCATTTCCTAAAACTGTCCACGTGAATATATTATATATAATAGTATAATGACTGTTAACAACGCTGTATGGTAGTACTCTCTATTAATAGTAGCACTGGAAAACTTAGTCTGTACTACAGTACTAAGTATTAAAAACTGTACTGTGTGGTACTTATAAAGTACAGTACTACGTAGTCTAGGTACGCATCTACTTCGAAGTACTGTAGTACATGTACTACCAGTAGCACAACGTACATGCAGTAAGCTTACAGGGATACTGCTCTACTGTACCTCGTTAACTTATTACAGTACGTAGTAATACTAGTAAAAGACCTTGTAGACGTATTTCAACTTCTGCTTGTACAGGATCGAATTCACTACCGATACTTTAGCACTGTAAAAGGTGACAAGTTTGTCATCACAAGGGGCTCGACCAACCAATGGGGGGAATATCGTCGGTGGTTACCACTTGGTGTACTTGATTCATAGACGACTTAGACATTCACTGCAACGAACTTACTCAAAACATTAAATTCATGCACGACAGCTCCTTTCAGCAATCACGAAGTACTGTAGGTCTCGTTCTCCATGTTGAGGGTATAGAGCGTCGAGACACTCTAGCATCGTCCTGCATAGTGGGACGCACCTGCATTGGTGACATATTTGGGGGTCGACTATCATCTCCTGTCACTGCGGGGTAAAGAGAGGCCTTTCTACGAGTGCGGCCCAGTCTCCATTTTCAAATTGTCACCATGGTTCGCATCACTGGCACCATTTCACTTGCCTATGTCTACGTTGTGGGGGCCCAGCAAGAACTTTTTCAATGGCAGCCGTGCGCGTTCTCTGAAGACCCTCGCCTCGAGTGCGGATCCCTGCGAGTCCCCCTGAACCACTTGCATCCGTCGGTCAACGAAACGATTGACATTGCCGTTCGCCGATATCGAGTCGAGAACGGAACCCAGAGCTTGGGCACAATCTTGGTCAACCCCGGCGGGCCTGGCCACCATGGAACTGCCATGGCTTCGGCGGGCCTGGCCACCTACCTCGGGGGACAGTACGACGTCTTGGGCTTTGACCCGCGGGGCGTGGGGTTGTCTCGTCCGGCCCGCTGCACCAAGAACGGATACACGTCCTTGCGCGAGTGGCCCAGCCTTAGCAACCTCCCTTTCGACTCGCCCACGGCCGAGAAATCGTTGGCACGATATGGAGCCAGTCTCGAGGCTATCGTGCGTCGGTGCGAAAAGTACGACGGCCAGTACCTCAAGTACTTGTCCACGTCGTTCGTGGCGCGGGACATGGACCTGATTCGGGCCGCGTTGAACGAATCCGTGGTCAACTACTATGGCGTGTCGTACGGCTCGACACTGGGGGCCACATACGCCAACATGTACCCCAACCGCGTGGGTCGATTCGTCATTGATTCGGTGCTGGACCCGACTCTGTACACGGGGCCCCCGTCGAACTTGCTGGCCAAATCCACCGTCGATGCGGACGAGACGTTTGACGGGTTTGCCGACGCGTGCGAAAAGGCGGGGCCGTTGAAGTGTCCTCTCGCGTACGCCGCGCAAGTCGGCAAGCGCGTTCGTGCGTTCTTGGCCGGAATGGTGGAATCCCCCCTCCTCGTGCCCGCGGGGGACGACTTCTCCGTCCTCACCGCGGCCGACGTTCGGGCCAACATCTTGAACACTCTGTACCGACCGGGACAGTGGCTGGGCCTGGCGCATCGACTGCACAGTTTGATGGAAGGCACGTACGAGGCGTCCCCTGTGGACGAGGTGTGTCCGCTCACGGACTCGTCGTACCTTGGCATGGGCATGGAGTTTTCCATTTACATTGGCAACGACGGCGACTCGGAGAGAGCGCAGGATTGGCACGGCGCCCTTCGAGAGGCGAAGCGCAAGAGCCCGCTGTTCGGGATGCAGTTTGCTTCGTACGCCCTCCCTGCTCGGTACTGGAAGGTTCGTCCCGTCGAGCGGTACTCTGGTCCGTGGAACACCATGCTGCGCCAGCCCATCTTGATCCTGCAAAACAAACTCGACCCCGTGACCCCCCTGCGAAGCGCGCGAGCTCTGGCCAAGACCATGGGCACCAACGCCGTCTTGGTCACGCGCGACGGGTTCGGCCACGAAACGAGCAGCACCCCCAGCAAGTGCATCCAAAACACCCTCACGGCGTTCTTCAGCAACGGCACGTACCCCAAGCACAACTCCAACTGCAAAGTGGACATGGGCCCGTTTGATGGCGCCGGCCCCCATGCTGCACGACGAGCCTTGGCAGACAAGATGGAGGCCGCGAGGCAGGAAGTGACCAAGATCTTGACCCAAGCCCGACAACCCATGTTATAGTCAAGGTTAGACTTTAACGTTTTGACACGTAGTGTACCTAATTGCTACTGTGCATCAGGATTATCGTCTTTAAGGTCGTCGGCGTGAAAGTCAAAGTGCGCTAGTACTACTATTAGTAGTATACCGGTATGTATTGTGAGTTTCACGCCGATTCACGTCGGAATTTTTATGGTAACGTAAACGGTCAATTACAGTATTGCCCTCACTTCGACCCCTTAGCTTTTTGGCCATATCTCGTAACGAAATGAAAATCGGAAAAAACGTTGTTAGGGGAACGAATGCTCTCAAATTAACTCGTTACTTCGAAGTATTATACAGTACCCTGCGTAGTAGTACTATTAAAGCAACATATACTAACGTTCGGTAGTATTGCAGTGATTACCGTACTAAAGATACATGCCCTGCATAGACTTGGAGCATCCAAGGATGCATCATAACCCTTTGACGAACGAACCTGCCGTGGACCACCACATGCTGAAATTTATATGGTTTACGAAATAAATGTGCCGCATACAATTGGAGATTCGAAACACGAAATTTCGTAAACTCAGATACTGGACATAATTTGATTTGATATTTGTATGCCAAAATTTTATCCAGAGATAAACTAGTAATGGGTTTTACGAAATACTGTAAGTCAGAACACCCTGTTCTTCTAGAGAACATCCCCACTGCCCTGTCAGTCAGGTAGCAGCGTCTACTAGCTGTGTAGGAGGTTTTTGTGCCTTCTAGAGGCTTTTCCTCAGAGTAGAAGACAGCGCAGAATCGTCACGGAACATCACAGGATGTCGTGGCCAATCATAATCTAGGATTTGATTGGCTGCTGGAGGAACTGGCACATCTAGAGCCAGTTCTCCTCTGCCGTCACAATTAATTCACTCTCGGTTCTTCCTCCACCCACTCACGTATTTGCTGCTGCTACCTGCCCTTCCAACTCTGTAGAACGAAAATTTGTATCCGGAGGCAGTTTCAGAGCCTTTGCGGCGCTGCACGCCGACCACATAAGTCCAGGTGACTCAACAACAGGGGACCAGGTGATGTTGCTTAGGTATGGCAGCAAGACACGTTATCAGTACGAGAGGACGCTCATGCGCCTTAAATATGGCTGCTGTGCGAGCATCCTGGTTGTATGACCAATGGCGAGGTTGATCTCCCCCTCGTTCCAATGGCCTGCAAAGTCTTCTTGGCGTATGAATGTGTGAAACGAGGACCAAGTGGTGCGGATGGTTGAACCACAGCAGTTCAAGTCATACTCTATTGTAAACGCATGCAAGAGCGCCATCAAGTTCATGTATAAAGAGTCCAATGTCCGCGTGTCCGATGATCTGGAAACACTATTGGCAGGTACGATATACGTGCATAATCCATAATTTGAGTCATACGTTAAGAACGATTCAGACTTTGCATGCGGGTACAAGCGTAAGGTTGCTCAACTCAAGGACAGCGGAGACATGGCGATTGGTGAAGGAAAGCGACCAATGACGTTTGACGGTCGTTATATTTTACATAATATATATACATGTTGATAAGTTTATAGGATATTGCTTTTTGGCAGCAAAGGCTCTAGGCAGTGAAGCCGAACACAACCTCAGTAGAGTAGTGGTTCACCCATTTTTTCTGCTTTGCTGGAACTTGATCGCACGGTCGGCATCAGTAGCTGCTATTAGATATGACCATTTGGCATGGGAAGGTGTACCTTTTATAATAACCACATTAGCAATTAGGTTGACCGTGAAATGTGGATGTTTACACGAGGCTCCCAACATGGGCGATCGACCAACCTTGTTTTTGGCGAAAACGCGGGCGAACGATTTTCAGCGTGGCTGTCAAAGTCCTGTGTATTGCACTCCGCTGAGATGTCGTCGTTTGGTGTTTTAGTTAAAGACATCGGCACGCACTCGTTTCGAAAGGGTGTCGCCAGCGAGCTATCTAACACACCTGGGGGACTAGAATCCGTAAATGTGTGGCTCCGAGCCGGTTGGACGCTTGGAAGTGTCCAAGGTCGATACATCTTTGCCTGTTCAAGTGGCGACACGTTCGTTGGACGTGCAGCAGTAGGTTAGTCGATGTTCAATATTCCAGCTTTAAAGAAAACACATGGGTGCGTAAATAAATATATACTTATTATCACTCTAGGGCACAATGTGAACGACGTTCAGTTTTCGTGTCTCCCTCCGCACTTCAAGGACGTTGGGCTGAACAACGGCCAGTGGAAAGCTGCCCTGCCCTGTTGAGTTGTGCATTCGGCCCATTTCAACGTTGTGTTCAATTTTGGTAGTAACCCAGACGTCCAAAAGGGGCCAAAAACAGCGGATGGTGTTTGCCCAAATTGTTTTGCAGCCAAATGTAATGATGCGAGAGCGAAGCCACCAAGAACGGAGTACTTTGGCGAAACGAGCTGGGGTAAAATGTACTGTACCCACTAATTTACAATCCTCCGGTTTCCCACCCCACGTTGCTATCAAAAACCATCTGACTACGGTTGAAAACGAATTGAAAATTGTCAACGAACAAATCAATTATTTATCGTCCAAAATTAGTGACCAGCTACACGCATCGACAGACTTCTCGGCAACCACGACAGATTTGGAGTCCTTCCGCGGCTCCGTTTTGTCTGAAATCCGCCATTTGATGGGGGCGTCCAAATCCCCAGAAGCCCCAGCCAGTGTCAACGGCATCGTGACAGAACCTTGGTGGACCACCACAAACGCGCAGGGACAACTCAGGCCCTCCCTGCCGCCAGGGAAGGATTTTGACCTCTGGTACGCGAGGTGGTACGGCTTACCTGGCGATGGCATAGTGTTCCTGCAACTCGTGCGACCTCACGACCTCGCTCGCCGTTGCGACCACGTCAACTACTCCAAGCTCAAACAAGTCATTGCATCATTGACGAAGTTATGAACTGTACTTGAAACCGAAGTCCAGCGCATGGCCGTGGTCGACCGGTCGGACTTGTTTGCATTTTGTCTTGAACGGCTTGGCCATTCGCTGCTAGTCGTAGGGATGGAGAACGACGTAAACAAGCGTAGACTAGATGCGATGACGTACCCAACTATTTATGATCTCATCAAGAAGTATAAACTTTGAATGGCATGTGTTCCTGTCATGGTTCTTGTGTACTCGGATCTTGCAATGTCAACGTGTGGGTCAAAACCTGTATCGAAGTGAGGAACATATCAAGTTATAAAGGGTTGCGTAGACATTTCGTAAACCTCAATATCTCTAAGTCTTATACTGTACAGTACACTGCGTAGTAATATGAAAAGCAACCTACTAACGTTCGGTAGTATTGCAGTGATTACCGTACTAAAGATACATGCCCTGCAAAGACTTGGAGCATCCAAGGATGCATCATAACCCTTTGACGACCGAACCTGCCTTGGGCTTCATGCTGAAATTTCTTGCCCTCGTTGGATACCCCATGGACACGACACGAAAAAACATTTCGTGGTGAATTTATATTCAATTTTGACCATTTCTGCGCCAGAATGTTGGTGGTGTATAATCCGCATACGGATACCGTCCCTTGGGTAATGATATGGAATGCTCAAGACCAAATCCGTCATGCTGGCACCAGGTTGAGAAACCAGCCGCCTTTTCTGGATCTGACGTCATGCATTAGGTACAAGATGCACAAGGGCGTGTGTTATACGCCAACCACGATACCAAGGAGGTACGACCAAACACCACTGGCCCATGACTTCGTGGACACCGCCGTCATCGCTTCCGCTGCCGGGATGCCGCTCTGCTGTGTCTGTTATGGTTCGTGTTTGGCCGTAGGTCGGACATGTCGCCACTCGAGAACCCAAATCTCACGGTCAGCGCTGCTGGCGTACTAATCGTGCACTTGATGCGAATGATGATATCAGATGAACAAGGTTTGTCGTTGTGTTACGATGAGAAATTCCTTGTCTGTCCCCTTATCTCTACGGCTACTGCTGTGGTGATGCAATCGACGCCACATGTCGCCCTCCTTGGTAATTTACCATCCTTTGATGCGCTAGTACAAGCGGAAGCGATGTCATCGATCCCCTTGATTGACTTGCTCAACCAACCCACTCGGAGCGGTCGCCGAGTTGTAGCCCGTGGATGCAGCGGCTACAATGAATGAGTCAGTTGCTGCTCTGCCCGGAGTCCAGAGTCACATCAAGCGCCTGCTGAACCGTATCTACCCACCGGCTGGAGTCTTAGCTGATTTCAGATCCCATTCCTTCCGCCGAGGAGAAGCCCAGTTTGCCAACGGTTTGTCGAAGTTGTCGCCGCAATGAATCCTTGACAGTGGCAGCTGGATGACTACAGCATCACTCGCTTGCATGCGCTTGGAAACGAGGCCTCGATTGCTGGTACAACCTTGTTCATCACATAGCCTCGGTACACAGCTGCGTCCACGCTGACTCACTTTGTCACCCTACTCCCTCCTGGTCACTTGCGGGAGTTGCGGACTACCGGCACTAGATGCACGAATGGTAGCATCCCAATCTTGTCATTAACGATAACACCACGGGCCTCATCGCAGCGTGGACGCACGACGGAGCCCAAGAACATCACCTTGGGCCCGCATGAACGAGCTCTTGGACGAGTTCAGGGGAATAAGTTGCTTGGGCCCAACATTGCCAGGTTTCTTGGACGTTATGGTGCCGCGGGTGCAAAACGTGTGCCTAATGTAGGCGACGGAGTGAGGGTCCATGTTGAGTTGCTCTGTTGCTTGTTTGTATGGACCACGCTCAATTTTGCCCTTCTTGAGGAAGGCTTCCAAGTGTTTTATGACCGTCGCTTTGTCGCTGCTCGATGGATGCGTTGGACTTGATTCTCCATGGCGGCAAATTCAAAATTAAGTTGGTGTAATTTTATTCGGATGGTTGATATTTGAAGTCAATTTTGAGCACCAGTGCTGTCTCGTTCATTTATTCGTATATTTTGATGGAAATATGCTGTTGCGAAATCATAAAATATCTGTCATTGCCGCTCGCTGCCGTTGTCGTTGCGTGAGCTGAACGCGAACAAATAACCGACGATTGCGAAATCTCCTTAATAATTGTTTGTCATTCACGCTATATTTGAAGTTTTCGCCAAAATTCGTCTTTAACGTGCTGCTTCGTAGCTCAGAGATCACCGATCAACGCAAGAACATGGTAGCATGTACAGCAGCATTGATGCTACGTAATAAAGCGGCATGGACGGTGTTACGATGCTTATTACGGGGTATAATCACACCCAAAGTAAGCTATATTTCAGTTTTTTGGTATGTTTGAGGTCACTTCACGCATGCTAAATAAGTGTAATCACCACACATTACGTCTCGTTATATAGCCCGCAGCCATCGCTTCAGTTTTCATATTAAATGTATCACGCCCAGACCAGCCGTTGCTGAGCAATTCAACGACAAAGTCATGTACTTTCTCGATAGTTAACATTGTCATAAATTATGACAAACATTGATGTTAACTTATGTTAACTTGATGCTATATTTCGATGTTATCTTTTTAAATTATGACATACTTATTTTATATTAAAAATACGTAACAGTAACAGTATTCTCGTGGAATGCAGTGGATACTTTTCCAAACCCAAGCCAAAATTTGAAGTGCATACTACGTATACGTTTTGAACAGCGGAATCGAATACAAAGTCGACTGGCACCAAAACTCGACTCCTTCGTCTAGACATACGTTTATCCTCGCTTATGTCGCCAACGATGGCTATGTTCGTCATTTCCCGTAGCCTCCAGTAATCGTGGGCGTTTTGGTGGGCCCATGTGGCCGACGAGTGGTTGCACTTGGAGTAAATAGGATCGTGGTTTTATACTTTAGTTACTCCAGAATATGCTGTCTGATTTCGAAATCGACCTCCTACTAAGTCGTTGCCGCAGCGGCAATTTCCGCCCAAAGATGTGACTATTCGCCTTATCGCATGCGTCGTTGAACGTCCGCTTGTCCCCGATGTCCCATTTGACCTGCTTGCGCTTTCCGATGCCGACTCAACCTTGAAGTTTCGCTTCGACGTTGCTGGGGTGAAAGCTCTCGCGCCTACCCGATGTGATCATAAAATCAAGCCGCGACCGGTGCTTATCTACGGAGGTACTCTGCATCACCTTGTACCGCATGTCGGTACTATGGCATGATGGCCACGTTTGATCGGTCTTGCGAGTCGATATTTCGCATATTTAACGACGTAATCGATGCATTGTATTCCAAGTGGAACAGAGTGCTTTACTTTTACCAGCACATTATTGCTGACCGCCTTCCCGCGTACTCAAGCGCTAGTGTGTCCAAGGGCTCACCGATGGAGACAATTTGCCGAATCACTCAAAAGCGCAGCCGCCGCCAGTTGGGTTTCTCCGATTTGCAACGCCTCCTGTGCAGTGGGCACAAGCGTCGCCATTGCCTGAATTTTCAAGCTGTGACGGCACCCGACGGATTGTGTGTTCATTTCTGGGGTCCGATGGTAGGCTCACGACACCACGATGCTTCGCCTTAGCAAGCTACAAGAGTATCTGGACGAGAACCGTTATGCTGACGGTAACCTTAGCTACGGTGACCCATTGGGTTTGTTCGGGTTTCAAAGGAAGCCATTTGGACCAGCCCCGTCGTGACTTCAATGCAGCCATTAACAGAGTGTGGCAGTCAGTGGAGTGGTCATTTGGCGCCATGAAACAGCAATGGGCGATAGTCTGTACAAGATGCAGCTACAAAATTTCGGCAAGGTAATTTTGGTTGCCATGTTATTTAGCAATTGCCACTGCCGCTACAATGATGGAAACCAAATCAGCGATTGCTTTGGAATTGTTCCACCGTTGCTATATGAGTATTTAGTTTTGCCAGAGAACTGAGTGTTAATTTAGTAACATGCAATGCTGTTTTATGTGATTCTTGCTGTGTAGTGATGATATCAAAGATGAACAAGATAGCACCATTTGTCATTTATTCCTTCTTCAACTTTCAAGCTAACTGCAGAAGTATCATGCCATCGTTTCGTTTCATCTCGAATTCGCGATGTTGAATCCACCCTCTCCTTTTCGCGCTCCTCAAGCTCCATGTGCAGTTTGTACTTCTCAAACGCCAATCGTTCCCTCTCGCGCTTCTGCGATTCAACAATCGCTTTACGCTTGCGCCCAATAACATTCGTCAGTCTCGACAGACTTGCGCTTACCACTCTGCATTGCTTGATCTCGGATGAATGACGCCGCCGCCTCCTTCTCCGTCATCTTGGCATGCATGGATACTCGGTCTGCGTTGCCTTGGTCCGTGGCCTCATCGAACAGCTGGATCAGCTCGTCCAAGAGGACGATCTTCCCCGTTTCGTCCTGCTCGACTCCAGATAGGTATTTGAAGCTGTGCTGGAACCGCCGATGCGGACGCAGAAGCTGGTAGTACCTGTTCGCTGCCTTGCCATCCAACGTCGTCCGACCGAACCTGGGCACTTCCAACAGCTTGGCAGCAAGCTGTTGGAAGTGCCATAATTTTGTGGTGTTCTTGACTTGCTTGAACGGAAGATCGTTTTTTACTTGTGTAAGCAGACTTAAGTCGTCAGAGTCGCTCCACCATTTGCGTGCTTGCGTATCAGTTGTGTCGACGCCCAGATCATTCGATATCGTGGTGTGGCGTGGTCGAAACACCTGTTTTGATATGCGGATACAGCCAGCCACAATTTCCACTAAGTTTGATGCCACTGCAACAAAAGTTCAAAGGTTGGTTGCAAATTTATCGGGTATTGAAGGATAGGATGTGGATAAAACGAAACTAAGGTTTGCGAAATCTGCCTATTGCCCAACGAAGTCCATGGCCCCAAGGCCAACGATAACAAAGCGCTTCCGTTGGCGTCAAGTCGGGGCTTACACACAACGGTACGTTACCTCTTACAACATGTAAATGATTCTGGGAGTTGCGTTAATGCTATCACTTGGTTGAATGCATAGATCATTCACATCAACCGACGACAGCCGAAGTCGGGGATGCGAGCATGCTTCGATTTCCCAGTTTCATCCATGATTTGTGTCCTGCATGTTGAAGTACATGAATATCCACGATGTTCTCAGTCCGATTTGACGGTTGTATGTGTTTGATATTCGAACTAAGGGTTGTATTGTACTAGTATGTTTTAGCCGCCACTCGTCGGTTCTGCAGCTTTACACTTAGTATAATTTATACCACAACATTACAAACTAACAACTAAGCTTCGGAGTCTCTCGACACCACCATGTGGAAGTACTAGCACCACAATAGCTTTGTGGTCTCTTGACCACAGTGTTAGGACCACAACTTCATACTACTACGTACTACTTCACAATTTTGCGTTTAATTTCAGCTTTTTTTCAAAATATTTCCACTAACCTCCGATATATTTCACCGAATCGCCAATATAATTCACGCAACCGCCATTATATTTCACGCCGAATTGAAATTTGGCCATTATATTTCACCCAACCTCCGATATATTTCACCTGACCACCGGTATATTTCATGGAAAGTAAATTAAATCCACGCAACATATCGACGACATCTACGGCTCAAGCACCAACGTCCATGTCTTCCATGTTCTCAGCACGGACATAAAACGGCTCAAGGCGGGCCATGTACGCATGCAAACGATTCGGCCCAATTCCTAATTCATTGTTGAGTTAAATCTTTTAAGTCTGTCCGTCTTGAGGTGGCCCCATAAAGGCCGCGACTCGTTCGCGCAAAGATGTCTTAATGCGGCTCTTCAACGCCGGCTACATATTCTCGATCGGGTTCAACATCGGGGAGTACGGCCCTAGTTTTAAGAACAAAGCGTCTTGAAACGTCATGTTAGCGGTCATTCGTACTAAACAGAGAGATGTACCGGAGTATATGGTGCAGGGATGGCCTCTTCCATAGAGCGCAGATTCAAAAATGGTGAAAGCGCGCGAAACTCTTCGCGCGCTTCGATCTTTCTAGAATCCCAGCTCGAATTATAACAATTGTTAGGTGCATTATATTTTCGAAAGTTGGAATTAACCGTAGGTTGGGTGAATTATAACAGAGGTTGGGTGAAATATATCGCCGATATTTTCCATCGGCGTGAAATATAATGGAGGTTGGGTGAATTATATTGGAGATTCGGTAAAATATATCGGAGGTTGGTGGAAATATATTGAAAATAAGCTGGAATTAAACGCAAAATTGTGTAGTATGTCCTACGACAGTAGCATGTTATAAGAGGTAACGTACCGTTGTGTGTAAGCCCCGACTTGACGCCAACGGAAGCGCTTTGTTATCGTTGGCCTTGGGGCCATGGACTTCGTTGGACAATGGGGACATTTCGCAATTCAATCCGTGTTCGTGTCTGTGAGTAAAATGGCACGGACACGACCACGAACACAGACTAAATTTAGACGATTTCGCTGAATAATAAATAGATTTCCGTGTCCGGAATAAACATAAGGAATCAGCTACTACGTAGTTCATGTACTTTGCCAAAGTGCTGTCTGTGGAAGAACTTGTCATGGTTGTCAAGCGTTCTCGCTTCGCGAGGCCTGTCCGTGGTCGCAGACTTCTGCTCGTACTCATAGCGTCGGTCACACCCAGACACATACACAAACTCCTACTGGAACTTTTCGTGGTTATCGAGTAGCAGGTGGAACCTGTGCGAAGTATGGTTTTTGGGTGAATTTCACGTGGTGGTTTTATGGGGTGCAATAATGGCGAATAAAGCGTGGCTCACAAACCGAAGGTTAAAGTACACGTGGTTTTTGAAACAGAATTCTTTAGCATTTCAATACAAAGCAACATGAAATTTTCAGAGGACATCAAGTGTAACAAGGTTATTTGTCTACGTGCACACAATGCTTGCAAAGTGTACACAGTCATTGACGCTGTTACAAGGGTTAACTACACAGCTTCAACAAGGCATTGGTGTTAACCAATGCCTTGTTGAAGTCAGAACAAAGATCCACAGTACGTCGTAAATGATGCATTGGTGATCAAGTCGGAGAGTGAGAAGTGCTTTAGAATCTGTCAACAGTCATCGATGCAGATGCCGGACGACGTGATTCATAGGTCTATCCAACGTTCAACAAAGCAGCGTTGCGTGGGGGCTTCCTCGTAGACTACGGACATCTCATGTTGGGTTTCAAATTATCATGAAGGAGATAAATTGCAAAGTACGCCTGGGAAATTGCATATATTCAATACGTATTACTGTCATTTTGAGTTGATCCTGTGATGTCGACACCAAGTGCGAAGGCTTCAATAATTGAATGCGCCAAGGCTTCCGCGGACATTGTAAAGGTCTGCAATTCGGCTATGGGACGGAATCGGCATACCCACATTTTTTGCTCAGGTTTGTAGCTTGCTACGTAGCCGACGATGGTATTCACAGACTCCTCCGTCGGCCTTATTTTCGATGATGTCAAAGTCCTTGCAGCACACAGCCAATCTTCCGCACCAACGTAGGAACAGCGAAGAAACGACGCCTAGGCCCGCTTTTCAATGCGTAGGGGATTTTCCTTGGACGTCCCACTGACTTCCGGGTTGGCAAGGTGGTTAACCTTAACTTTAAGTCGAAGTCGTCGATGAGGTTGCAACAAGCAACTGTACGCGCACATAGCCACCCCGACTCATGATACGCGAGGCAATCGCACTTGTACTTCAGGCGGACCAACTCGCACTAATCAGTACAAATCGTGATTTCTAGTTACTTAATTTAATTCTAGGAATATATTAAACCTCGTTGAATGTAAAGGGCTCGAGACTTGACACGTTTTCCCGAATTTCAATGTCTTCGTCGACATGAACAATGTGTAAGCTGAGGAAAGCGTCCTTGATTTTTCTGCCAATAGGTCAACTGTGCCTTCGCCATTGAGGGAGTCCAGATATCTACACATTTCAGGTGCTATTGTAACAGTTCTATGATTATTCGTAACAATGTATGGAATTTCTTCATCCTGGACAATGTAATGAAAATTCCAAAGTGCGACGACGAGTTGAAGCAAATGCATGATTGCTCTCTTCGACGAGTCTGTGATTTCTTGGCTTGAGTAAAACTAGAGCCTTGGCCAACACTTCACCCGAGATTGGTGCATCGATCCACGTGGCTGGTGTATGATCGGGCTGTATAGCGTCAGCAACAACAATTCGGGGAATGGTGTGCTCCAGTACAACACTCGTTGTTGCTCGTAGCTCATGGGCGCAAACCTTCACACGCAATTATAAGCGTAGGTCCAAATATGTGTTACCTGTTTGATACGGTTATGATGGCTCTCAATGTGCTGTTGATGTGCAGGAATTCCAGGAGTGAGCGACGCAACGAAGAACCAAACGTCCCAGGGGGGCAGCAAATAGGTTTCTTGGAACCACTGCGCAAATTCCTCCTCCGCGAGCGATGTTTTCCCAGTCCATGAGGACGACACTTGCAATAGATAGCATGAAATTGCATCCACGTCCGTGCAGATCGCATGAGGTGGATTTTAGCGCAAATGGCCTTGTAGTTGTCCATGGTCCGAAGCAAGGACTTGTGCTTGTGAACGTTTCACAGCATGTGGATGGCGCATGACACAACATGGACTTGCGGCCACTGCTTCTTGAGAGCTGTTTGGATGTACTGGGTGTGATCAATTGAGCACGTCGCAACTTCGAGATGGTAGTCGAAGAACGTGTCAAACGCTTCAGCGGATACTCGCAATAGCTGCGAGTAGGTTTCCTCGTATTCTGAGCGCACAAACAGGTACTACCATGGCATGAAAGAGCTACCAAATTTGTTGTTGGAAAATCTTGTGTACACAACGCCTATGTCAATGAGCGCCCATCCCCCTAGTAATCATTACATCTATCCTCTAAGTAGGGATCGTGCTATGTACGGACCGATGTGAAGCTTGTATGTCCCGTCGGTTGCAAGCGCTGCCCCGTCCTTTTGATGCTTCGAAGCTATTGCTACGTTCTACATGTTCTGGCGTGACGTGAACTCGACCCCAGCATATGGGCGTTGCTCGAGCCCGTCGAGTCCAACAGTACTCGTCCACCCCGTCCATATGCTAAGTACCAGCAGCTGCTCCCTGGCAGAACGTTAGTGAGCTTTGAGAGGTGATACTTACTTGTACGCATTGTCGAGGGCGGCGAATTCAACGTAGTTCTGAGGGAGGCGACCTGCTCCCAAGAAATTCATCCCGTGTCGTACACATCTTGTCAACTGGCCATTCCTGAAGGGTGTGAAATGTCTCAATTTCCCATCCTCCGCCGCGTTGCTTCGTAATGTGCTTTCGTCGTGCAGCCAGCTGCTGCCTTGTTGGTAACCGTAGGAGCACAGCGGCGTCATGTTGGTAAATGGTTCTCAGGTGCACCTGTACGTCTTAAGTACTTTAAAAACCTTAATAAACCATACTACCTCCAACTTCAATGGGGTAAAACCACCTTTTAGATACGCATCGATCTCAGCGCGCAAGGAGGGATGAACTCCACGTGAACGCGTAACGGCCGTGACCTCGCTCTGTGTAGCGTTGGATCTCTCAAGACGTGATACAAACGTGAGGACGACGATACGCATCTTGTGCGTACAGCGGGTATTACTAGAGCACGCGTATACGTAGGAGCGCTTCGTGTCGGAGCACTTGTAGTTGCGCAAGTGCCTGTAGCGATTTGTACCGGATGACTCCATTCCCGCCTTCGCTGCACAAAAACTATCATATTCACCCATTAAGGACCACTGCAGCTCGGTATCGATTCGGGCATGGCCAGTCAAAGCTTCGTCGTATGCATCGTCGATGCCAATGTGGCTTTGACCAGCTCTGACATGTCGCTGCTGCTCTCCATTCCCGTGGCTTCGTTTTACGTGTCAGCAGCAAGTGTGAGAATGAATCAACATGCCTTCGACGAAAATTCGAGCAATAGCAAGACGAGGTTAAAAGTAAGGATTGTTGTAAACCCCGGTATTGAACGCACGACCTTTCGCTCAAAAGACCATTACGCTACCTTTAAGTTAATATCATGGAACGACTACCGACAGTTCATTACACCATACATTACAATTACTGAAGCAAAAATTGCTTGGCCATACAAAAGTTAGTATTAATAATTGTGACATCCAGGTTATCCGGAGATGACTTCCGGCGAACGTACTCAGTGTCCAGCGCACTCTGACTATCTGGCATATTGTACATCAACACCGGGGATCGAACCCTGTACCACTCGGTTACCAAGCGGGAGCCCTACCACGTGAGCTATTTTCCTTTTCATATCCAAGAGCACCTATGTCCTACTAGATAGTACTTAAAAGCATTTATAGACAAACCTATATATACATACATACATGTACCCGTTGATATGAGTTACTGAGCGAAAATGCCTTCGGATGAACCATCAGCCATCTTTGACCGTGTGTGCGATCATGTCCAAATCCTATGGCCTGGGACTGGTGCAATTACCGCAATCAGGCTGAAGATATCCGACCGCCTCTTGGTGTCGTCACCTATCCCGATGCATGCTGGTGAAGTGGACTTCATTGCGGACGAACGCGCAGTGGAGAGAATGGGAAAAACATGGCACCAGTATCTCGTTCACTGGGCCCGACCTCATCTATTGGCGTGCACGCGATCATGGGTGATAAGCCGCTTTATGAAATATTGTCCCGAAGCGTTCGGTGTGTACACGCGTTGGCGACAACATCCTGGCAACTTAACGTACTCCGAATACCGAGTACGCGACGCTCAGTTTTTGGAATTTGGTGAAAATCCAACAAAAACCTGCCTTTTTCAAGCGTTCAAAATTATCAGCGACAAGTCGAGCCTGCATTTACGCGCCACTGCAGCCGATTTGGTATTAGTTATGACAACGAACACCATCCCACTGTCCCATGGCATTCCCCAATCCAAGTTACGTGCCTTTGTCCAGTTTCTGTTCGCGAGGGGGCTCCGGATTTGTTTGAAGATGTTTGCGTCTGAGTTGCTTACCAATCAAAGTGGCGACCCGAAGTTGGATCTGTACCGTATTGTCCTCGCGGAAGGCAACGGCATGTTTCTAGTCACAACCGTATCAGGCCACACCACCCATGTATGGGTATTGACGTGCGTTGGCTCCGTGTCCGAGTTGGCAGATGCTGAAGGAACGATCGGGGTCGGTGAACTCCCTAGCGTTGATTTTGTTCGCGCAGACCGGCGCATCGTTGTTTGTAAAGGTAGAAAGCGTATTGAAAGCGAGCGCGTACGTAGTAGTTCTACGTTTGAAGTATTCACAGTCAACATGATTAATCATGCGCGGGTTCTTTCAATATATCTTGTCGTCAAAAGTCCACCCTTGTGTGCAGAAAAACAAATAACAACGAAATGAGTACAGGATAATCGAATTGAGTACATTCAACGTCATCACTACAGTTCCACCGCAACAAAGCAAACGGACTCAACGTAGCATGTTGGACATCAACTGCAACATTAAATAAGACGAGTTAACCATGCATAGGGACATGTCGTAGTTTCGACTGAACATACACACGTCATCGGCTAATGCTATAAAGGGATATACATACGTGGGCTGATAATGCGATGTGCGTGTCGAAGGGTGCTGGGCTAGTTGTGGACAAGGGAACTCGAGTGACCCGCGGTGCTTAAACTGTAGGCAGACGACTGGTTGTAGGATTCGTTGAAGCGGAAGGGGACGTTGATGCATACAATGAGCAATGATCAATGGTGAAAACGAAACGATGATGTTGTGAGTGTAGAAGTACCGGAGCTGATATGATTTGGTCGAGTAGAGATGCGTGCGATGAGCTTGATGCCAACTACTTCGAAGTACATATCTAACAATAGAGAGGTTTTGCAACTCATCCGTACATTACCCCCATCCTCACAAAATCGACATTTGTCGTTTTGAGGGTAATGACAATGATGAAGTATTATTGTGTTTTGCAATTTATCCCCATCATTATCCCCACAACAGCATCCGGATAATACGGTTAGTCGGATATGTACAATTTGCAGATAGATGCCCACGGTCCACACGAAATGGCCACGGGGTTGGCGTGGCTGTCGTGTGACGTCGCACGCAGGATGCACATACACCGCGCTTGACCTCGATCTTATCGGCATCGTTGTGTCGTTCATTGGTCCAATGAACGCAAACCGGATGTCGTTGTTCAAGCAGGACTCCGAGTCGACCGACGACGCGA